ATTGGAGGTGATTGACCAATGAATACTTGTTGATTTTTGTATGAAAGTAGGATGTTACTTACCAGATAGGAAGAGTGCATTTCCTAAAAAGAGGTAAGGCTGGTTTGCTGTGGAAGATCCCACAATATATATATACAGCCTGCTTATTACATCCGTATAATAGGATAGCTAGCTAATTCCTGTTGCAGACGTTTGGTCAAACACATTTATATTTCTTCAACACACACATTGGTTTACCTTTCAACTAAACTGAATAGATCTTGGTACAGTTTATGGGAAAGAGGACACAAGGCAAATCTACTTAAACATTCGGCCACGATGACTTGTAACTTCATGCTAGTGCAATCATTGGTGCTCCTCGAACAGTTCCATGTATCCAGTTTTACTCACAAGGCTTGGATTATGAACAAGTCCTCTCCCTGACCAATCGACCATGGTGAGAGTTAAACAATGGTTTTCAGGATCGGGACATAATGGTTCAATTCAAACTATTCAGCCAATATATATATTTACGTGTGAGTGTTGCTTAAAATTTGCTATATTTATGAGGGAAGAGTCTTCAGTATTGGAGATAGAACGTTTGTAAATAAAAACAATGTGGACATAGAATCGACAATACATAGTGCTAAAGTAAACAATCTTTTTTTTAGACCTTCAGATATTGGTCCAGTGATCCTATTAGAGGCGAAAAGTATTGAAAAAGGGATTTTTCGTTGTCTGGAATGACGATTTAAAAATGCATAACCAATTTTCTATAGAGATGCGTTATAAATTATTTTGTTATAGAATTGTTTGAATAAAAAGACAAAAGGAAAACTTATTTTAGCTGACGCATTTTGTCTTCTGAGGGATTTTATTAAGCAAGATAGATTCAAGGATTTTATTTTGTAACAAGTATTTATATACAAGCGCTATGGAGGAGGCGAAGTGACACAATACAACATCTAATAAACGAAAAAACGATAATGTAAATTACTAATTAGATTATTTTAGTTTGGGATTAAAAATAATATGATTAAATAAAATTTAACCGTTTTCTTTTAATCTCTTAACATTTTTATAGTCACTATGTTGGGTTGGGAAAGGAGTAATTCTTCCAGGAATGGAGATATTGGAAAAATCCGAGGTACAGATTTGTATTTTGATATGATTCGATAGTGGCGTCCTCAAGAATTTTTCTTCTAAGTGAGTTAAAGAATTATTTGCAAATCATTTTATGATAAAAAATGTATTGATAATGAGAAAAGAAGTTGTCAGTTTTCAGGAATTAATGCATCCATTACTTTCAATAATGTAAATAATAGACATATTAAAACTAAAAGTGTACATTGAAAATGATTTACTCTAGAAAATCAGGTATTTTTAGTGTTTGAAAAGGGGACTTTCAGTTGTAGCGTACGTAAATGTAGCTGGAACACCAAATATATAGGTACTACTACTATTTATATTAATGATTCTTCCATGTACAGGATTCAAGAAATAATAACAACAACTCCAATTTGATAACCAATTAACAAATATATATTGAATAAAATACAACAAGCATGAAATAAAATCGTATTCACAATGTAGATTAAAGAGAAGGAAGTTATTTCCCTTTGACTGTAGATTGATTGTAATCAACCGTTTGCAGAAAGTTCTATTGTGAGATAAATGTTCCGAAATAATTGTTAGAACAAAGTTTGCATGTAAAGAATGAAAAAACACCAAGAATACAATTGCTTGAAATGTGTTGTGAATAAACTGGTTTGAATTAACAAAGTTCTGGTTGATTGTGCTTGGCGAAAGTTACAGAGAGAAAATGTAAGTTTGTAGTTACGAAATTCTGTGTCTGTGTGTGCGTTAGAGTGTGATGAGCAAGATCGTGGATTTGTGTTGACGGCTTGGATTTTACTGGCTCTTACTGGCAACTTGCGAAAAGTCGCCCAATTTAAGAAAAAGAGGTAGGCTCCCACGAAACCGCGGGAAAACTTGAAAACATTAAAAATATGTGATTGGTTAAAAATTAACCAATTGCTACACACGAACTAAACAGAATAGGTAAGTATGCTCAGAACCAAAAGATTCAAAGGAACGACTGCGATGGTTAAATTGTCCTATACAAAGGTAGTAGTAATTTATTAGCCAATCGCAGGCGAATAAAATGACTTGGAGTGTATGTGGGTGTGAAAAACATAGCAACCGCTATACAGTCATCAGAAATCGTTAGAATATTTGTTTAGAGAGATACTCTATTCTCTCTTTAAAAATAGAGCTATTATACACACAACTTTAATGATGATGTGCAGTGTAGGTAATTATCAGCATGCCCACGTCGTTACAGAATGTGTCTCTATGTCGAGATTTAATGTGGGAAGCCGTTGTAAATTATTTTTACAATAGAAATTCGTTTCAAATAATAAAGAAAGGAATTGAGAGACGGAAAACGTAAGCAGTAGAGCTGTTATACGTGCATAATATATAAACATTTACTATAAAAATGTATTGTGAATAATTGTAGTTTCTAAATATCACTTAATAAACAAAATTAATCATAAAAAACTATTCATCAATTAAATATCTAAAAAAAAAAAAAATTTTACTTTGAATAACAGAATAACGAAAGCGTCTTTTTTTATGCAGACACAGAGGAAGTACTTACACCGGTTAATTCAAAGCCACACATGCGTATTACGTTTATTTACCAAAGTTTTTTTTAAAATTATCGTTGTTCCTTGTGATTACTTTTAAGCCTTAAGGTAAGTGCTCACTGGTTTAATTTCCAGGTGCAGGGTTGATGATGTTCATTAACTATGGCTAATTTGAATCTTTTTTTTTAACCAATAGAAAGAAACTATTAATTATATTTATCAATCAGCTGTTGGCATGAACATTCATTATTGGCCAAACACACGTGTTTAAAAAACAAGAAAAGAAAGTCTTTTCGCTTTGTTGGTAGTTTCATTAAAAAATAATTAATGAGTTTAGCGTTCCTAGTCATTTCTCCATACTAAATACTAACCTACTTCCCTTTCATTCCCATCATGTTTTTAAACTAGCCTCATATTCTGAGCCCTCAGACACTGTTTGAAGTCGTAACAGTAACACGAAATTAAAGGAAAAATAGTGTGATGTCACGAAAGGAAGACAAAGAATTATATTCTTTATGAAGAAATCTATGAAGGAGAAAATTTTTTGAAAGATTTTTTTTTTTAATAAAAAAAAACAGTTTTGTTGACATATTTGTATGGACATTTTTTGTGTTTTTACTAATAATGAAAAAATTCCAATCAATTTAAATTCAGTTTGAAATACAGCACAGTTTTATTTGCTTATTGGAAATCATTTCTATTAGCTTGAAATTAAAGCTAAAATAAAAGCTACATCTCTGAGATGAGATATAACTTGCATTATTTACATTATTACTCGAACTGTTATCCTCATCTTCATTCATTTCCATATTCCCAACGTTTCGGCTGTTGTACGCTCCGGTCTTCTTCAGGTGATTGGAATTTCGAGCCGAACCCTATATTTCGTCCACTGCTGTGGCCTGGTACTGAACTCTTTAGAGACTTGAGTTAAAAAAGGGAAATAATTGAGATATCAGAGGCATGGCACGTGGAACTAGAACAATCTACCCCGTTGAACAAAATAAAGGGTTCGGTTCGAAATTCCAATCACCTGAAGAAAGCCGGAGCGTACAATGACCGAAACGTTGTGAATAATGGCAATGAAGATGATAACAGTTCGAGTAATGTAATTAATGCAAGTAAAATAAAAGGTTCAAGAAAGATTTTTAAACCTTAGCTATCACTTTTCTTTGGAGGTACCTACAAAAGATAGATTTTTCTCTCGATTCACATTCTTATGTACTACTCAGTTATTCCATCATCCAAATAAATGCAGTGTTTCTTTAGTACTTTCAGTACTGTCTATATTTCTGAGATGAGTGAGTGTTATTTAAAGACTGCATATACATTTAGCTACACAATTCATTAATAAATTTAATCAAAGAACACAAAGTTCTGTAGACAGTAGAGAAATGTACTTAAATTTTTGTCCTACTTTAACAATGTTACAAACGATACTAATTTTCTTCCTATCAAAGGAACTTTATTGGAATATTTTCAAATAATCTGTACGTTTTAAAATTTAACGAAAAGCGATTCTTGAACTTATGCAAATATTGTGTTTATGTATAAATTTTCTTAAGTGCAAAATCAAAATTATAATGAATCTCTTAGATTTAAAAAATCTGCTCCCGAAACAAATGAGTTATTTCCCTTTATCCGTTTACGTTTCATCAACGTGATAGTAATTTTTCTACTTTATGAATTACACTACACTACAGTGTCCCGAGTTGATGGGTAACTGCACAAAACAAATTAAATGTATTTTTCATTATAAATGAAACTTCTTTTGTTCAGAATCCAGTTAGGCATTCATTAAATTTACTTTTTTTTATTCCTTTATTTCTATGATAGCTTTTTTAGTGATTTATTACAGCATTTAAAATTTAAATGCTGTAATTAATTTTAATTTTTTTCTGCCGACGGTCATTAATCGTGACATGATTGAAGTTAATTTTGGATGATTTAGAACAGTTTAAAAAAACATACTTTAAAGTATGCAAAAGTAACTTCCGTTTTTTTTATGGTCAAAAATTTTTGACACTTATCTCAAAATCTTAACTAATTTCTTATAAAAAATTCAGTTATCTTTATGAAAAATGAGCTTGCAGTTTTTATATAATGTTGGGATGTTTAATCTGCTGAAAAAAAAATGAATTTTACCATAACTGGATTTTGTGAAATTAATTCTGGTTATAGAAATGATTTGGAGCCTTTTCTTATGATATATACTCTCTAAAAGTTGTAATCTTGTGTTCTAAGTTTTTGCTAAAATGAGCAAAAAAATTTAAATATATAAGTACTTTTAGAAAATTGTCTAATATGTTGTTATTTCTGTTTTTCTTTTCATTTTATTAAAATTGACTTAATTGGCATTTTTTTCTTTTTTAGGATGAGTGCTAGTGGGAGCAAAGGCCCTGCTCCTACAGTTGAGCAGATTCAGGAAGATGTCATTACTCAGGTATTGTAGCCTTGTGTCAACCATTTCAGCTACAGTAAGAAGGAAAAAATTTATTTTTTGCTTGACAATTAAACATTTATTTCTGAATAAGAATCAAGAAACGGAACATCAACAGTGTCATGCAAAGAAAATGCAAAACGTTTGGGATATTTTTCTGTTTACCATTTAAATGAGACTATTCTTGCATCACTTGTCCAAAAATCAAACATTCTCCTACTGTACAATTCAGGTTGCATCAAATATTAATATTTCATTTAAATTCATTATTTCTCAATACAATTCAATGTGACTTTATCAGTTATTTAATAAATCATATGTTCAGTGTTTTGTTCATAAATTGTTTGATGAGTATCTTGTAACTTATTGATAGTGAGTTTGATCTTCACTGAATATTGTCACTATTAAGGACTTTTAAGTCAATCCCATTGGATGACAGGAAGGACATAACTCCTCCTACTAATAAATATATTTGGCTTATCCAGTAAAACAACTAAAACTGAACTGAATTAGACAAAAACATTTTAGTAGTGAATGAAAAAAAAAACTTGTTTTATTATTATTTTGAGCTTTTCCCCTTAAGAAGCTGCTAACTTGAACTTTGATAACTTTGAGGCAATTAATTTTTTAAATCCATTTTTAAAATACTTCATTATTAACCTTTATTGCTCTATATGTGACTTCATTTGCTGTACAAGAAGTTTATCCTAACACTGAAGGTGACTCTGATCCCTGAACAATAGTGTGTTTTGAATTTCATAGTTGTGTTGTCATAACCTGCTAGGGAAACAGGAAACAAGTTTTAGTGAAATTACAGTAAGGATATTGTAATTGAGAGGCCTTGAAAAAGAATGCAGGGGAAAGAGAAATAATTAAAGTTTAAGGTTAAAGACATGTCTGTTTTTTGTTTCTTTGAGATATATTTTGCTAAGAGGTTTTTAGTTTAATAAAGATTTTGGACATGAATGTTTTGCTGGATTAGGCTGACAAGTTGTGCTATATTCTGTTAATTATATTTTAATTTCTGTTATTTCTTTATAATTATTACACAGGATGTGTCAAGTCATGTGATATTTATATGAAATGGATTGTTCATTACAGCTGACAGACACAAAATGTCTGTGACTTTAATTAATAAAAGAGGGGACAAAAATGTTCTCAGCCTGACTAAGGAGGAGTTTAAAAACATTCTAATGTCTGGTTAGGTTGTGAACTTTTCATCAGTCCCTTGTATATGACTTGTTACTAGAGGTGCAGGGGGATGTAATAGTTATCAGTATAGAAAATGGAGTTGGTGAACAGAGTTCAAATTCAGGTTAAAGCATTTTGTATACTCTCTGTACTTATGCCTTTGACAAAAGTATGACTTTATAGTGCCAGGGGCTTAGGGTTTAAAATGAACATTCAATTTACCCACACGAAGAAGATTAATGAAGGATTATAATGATGAGGAAACACACAAGTAATTTAATAAAAAAATAAAAGGATAAGGAATTTATTCATGAATTTACATGCTTGAAGTTGTGCCAGTAGCTTGTTTGAGGAAAATAAATCAGAAATCTTTAAAGTCTTTAATGAATTGTCATGAAGAAGAAATGTTTGTACAACAGATTAAATGATCCGACACAAAGTAATATTAAAAAATATTTAAGACAAAAGTTAAGAGAGTTTGTTGCACACTGAAGAGATATATGGTTTGCATACGTTCAAAAGTAAACAAAGAGAGTTTGAAATACTTAATTTTCTTGGATTGTTGAGAGAAAGTTCTTTAGGCTGATAATATAATTGCCGAGTAAATTTTACACTGGCAAGTACTTCAATGCTGGTTATGAGGAACTGAAACGAAACCTTTCACATGATTTCAGACATTCTGCTCTGATTAATTTTTCTCCTTATTTTATATCAAAAAGAATTTTGTGTAGGCTCGCTACTTTCTTCTTGGCTCACCAGTTTCTGTGAAGGCAAGGTTTTCAAAAACAATTTCACATATGCTTACAATTTTTTTTACTCCTTCTTCAGTCCTCTGAATTTGAAGTTAGTGTGTGAAGTTAGTTGGTGTTATTTCACATTCACTGCAACTTTATCTCTTACATACTGCTGCCTAGTGCCCAATTATGGGGCAAGACAGTTGGGGTCCTTCAACTCTGTAAGGCATTTGTAATCAAAAATGAAAGAAAAAAACCCAGCAAGAACCTATTTATTTCACTAGCTGAATACCTGTCCTATGAACATAGAAAAGTAAGTTGTAATAGTTACCAAATTTTGACACAATTTCACACTGCCAGCTAATGCAGTTTGGGATACCTACTATGAGAAGACTACTCAGTTTGGTAGTCAACCAATAATGGGCTGAAGCTGAAAGAGTGAACTTTTTTTAATCATTTCACTTCGAGCCACAAAGATGCAAGTGTTTACTGCATGTTAATGAGGAGAAAAAAACACTATTAAAGGGAGAGAACAAGAATTAAGAAGACAATAGATAATGATTGACATTACATTTAAAGTTTTGAAGATCAAACTTGAGTGAGAAGCAAGAAGATAGAAGAGAGAGTTCCATAAGTGAGAAGTGTGATAAAAGAAACTGTTAGTATAGAACTTACGGTTACATTTAGTTATTTCAACTGTAAAATGATGAGACCTTGCTACTAATCTAGTGCTGAGCTTAGATTCATAAAGTCTAGATAACATAGAGGAAAGTTCATCAACAATTACCATGAAAGTATTTATAGAAAAAGCATGGGGAAGCTACATTATGGCAGTGGGAAAGTGACTGAAGCTGAGATGCCAGAGCAGGGCCAGTAACATTACAGATTCTTCTTTGGATTTTATCAAGAATTTGTAAATATATAGCAGGAATACCAGAGCAGAAGTGGCAGGAATATTCAAAGCAAGGATGAATGGTAGACTTATAGCATAGAAAACTGTTTAGCATGACACAGGAAACCAACTTTCCTAGAAGCAGACCTTACAATTGATGCAATATAATCTTTCCACTTCATATCAGCAAAAAATGTTAGTTCAAGAAGGTGCAATGAGTCACTCTCCTGGAGACTAGTAGTGGTGTAATTTTAATTGATGGTTAGTGTTCTAGGGTTAATATTAACAAGCTATTCCTTTCACCAGTTAACAACAGAATGTATATAATTTTTTTAGATAAGCTGCCAATTTGACCTTATTGAACTGACCAGGTTTACTATTAAGACAAGAATAAATGTTTGTGTCATCAGCATAGATACTGAGTAGAGAACTGACACTTCTCTGTGTGTGCAAACTGATCTCCACTTTAAACAGTTATTTGCAGGCTGAAACCTGTAGTAGACAGGCCATCCCCACCCATGCCCAGATTCATGTTTTTTTTATTAACTAAACTTAGATTATTTTTCTTTTAACAGTTGGCAAATCAGTTCTGGTCTCCTTACACTCCAGAGACAAAAATATTTAAACCAAAGGTAAGTTATTTGTCTAAATTAAGTCAGCTGGAAAAGTTTTCTGGGTAAATACTGTTGTTTACATGATTTTTCATTGAAATAAAAATGATTCTGCCTTTTTTTTTTTTGTTTTTGTAAAATCTCTATTCATCATCACTAACTCTTTTTTCAGGCTTTTTGTACTTTAGAATATTTAACAATACTGTCACACATCTGTAAAAATTTTATATTTGTCAGAAAAACAAAAACAATATTTTATTTACCTTGGGAATATAAATCCAATTTCAGTCTCTTTTATTTATATTAACAATGAAATACTTCCACTGATGGTTTTGTAATTTTTTCAACCATCTTCTGAAAAATTTTGTAAAATATAAATTTTACAAAATATGATAATTTATCTTCTTAGATAGAAAATTTAGCCTTCAAATCAAAGGCTAAACTTATTTTTTCTTTCCTTAAATGCTTAAGATTGAGCAGTCAGAATTTAGCAATTGGAAAGAAAAAGAAATGGGGACAGAGAGGGTCAAGGTTGACAGCAAGGCTGCAGTGGTAGCATAGGAAGCAATAAAAATATCTGGTTTAAAACTTCTAGCTTCAGGATTGCCCCACAGGAATATAGCCTAGAGCATTGGTTCATGAATGTGGTGGCATAGTAATTGTAAGTTCAATCCCTGAGCCAGGTAGTACAGGCTTAGACTCAGTGGAAACAGGACTAAGAATTACTGAACAGTACTGAGAAAAAAAAGATCAAAATAAGATATCGCTAGACATATACTATTTACCACTGTAGATTAAATAAAAAGTTCAGTTTGAAATTCTCTAAAGTTTACCCAGATCAACAAACACCTGAAGAAGGTTGGAGATCCCAACAGCTGAAATATTGTGAGAATAACAATAAAGATTTACACTATTTACGTTGTTTGGACTGTTGTACTCATCTTTGATGCCATATTCATGACTGCTTCAGGTGATTGGAATTTCAAACTGAACCCTTTATTTCATCCACTGGGGTAGATTGTTTTAGTTCTATGTGTCTTGCCTTTTCTGAATGTCTCAGTATCTTCCTTTAACTTGACTCACCAAGTTTTTGTTCACCTCTGTTCTAACCAGGTATTGAACTCAACTTTTTAGGTCAAGTCACTGGATTCAACAAACACTTTTATCTTTTAGAATATTCTCAAGGATACATTTCAGAAATATAAACAACAAAAGATGAAACAACCTCATCTCAGAAATATAAACAACAATGATGAAGATATTAGCCTCTAAATCATATCTCTGTGGCAACAATGGAGAAAAGTAAGCCTTAGAATTTGTGCCTATCTGTTAAAGAAAATTTGACTTTAGTTGGCTTTGAGATAAAGTAATTTTTGCACTTTCCTACCAGTCTTGACCACAACCTTTCTGGCACCAATAAAAAGAACACAACTTTGGATGACACGACAATTTCTTGGTTCTTTGTGGTTGAAATAATTAGTTGTGCATTGCGAGTTTTGGGTGCATATTTTTAACTTCTTTTGATTTATGCCCCAGCCATTTTTTACTTTGGATTTACAAGACAGATTCCTAACCTTTGTAAGATGGCAACAGAAAATTTATATTTTTCTTTTCTTCTTATTTTTTTTTTTTTTTTTTTTTTTTTTGGGCAACTCATGAATGTTTGCACATTTTCATAAAAATCCATGTTTTAAGATATTTCATAGTCATTTATTAAAATATTTTAAGACATTTATTATGCCACAGTGCATATTAATTGATTGGTATCAAAATAATATCATCTTAAATAGCCAATGAAGAAAAATTAAAAAAAATATTTACTTGACAGTGAGTAGGTTGAATATCCAATTTTCTTTGAATTTTAAAGCATTTTCAAAAGAAAAAAAAAATAACATGAAATGACCTCCTCCACCCTTCAACTTAATGTGGTTGTTTTTTCTCTTAATGTAAATAATTGATTCTGTTCTGTTATAATTTCAATTTCTTTTCTGTAGGTAATTGAAGATATTTATGGGAAAGAAATTCTTGCTACCAAGTAAGTTGAACCTTTTTTGTTTTTGTACAAAAGTCAGTCAGTAGAAATTAATTTTCAGATTAAAAATCCCTAACAATAAGCGTTCCGTGTATGACGATAAACTACATCTGCGTCCCAGGTATGACGATAAACTACATCCGCATCCCGGGTATGACGATAAACTACATCCGCGTCACAGGTATGACGATAAACTACATCCAACAGCAAGGCCTCTGATCAGGAGGTTTTGAGAAGCGTGGAACCACCTCTTAATTGCTGGTGTTCCCAGTTTCACCCTGACTCGG